CAATTCATAGACTTAAAAAGGGGGATTTGCCACATCGTTGAGTGATCTTTAAAAAGGAAGTCGGCCTTCACTATCTTCCAATCTTCAAAGGACAGTGGAATTAGGCTTTATCCAATGTAAGAGCTTCTTCTTTCGTCCTTTAGTCTTCTTTTAAAAGAAGGATTGTTCCCACAGTAATATCATAACATAAAATGTTGCACCAAACAGTCAGTTTGCTGCAATTTAATTTGATGTGTTCTTTCATTTTCAGCCACTCGGTGACCTGAGAACACTGGATGTTGATGAGAAAGGGGAGGCATTTTATTCTGGTGCTGAAGAGAAGTTGAGAGTTGCTGACCTGATTGGGCGAGCTATAGCGGTATATGCAACTGAAGATAAATCAGATCCAGGCGTTAAAGCAGCAGTGATTGCTAGAACTGAACTACAAGAAACTTTGCATTTGTGATGGTACAACCATCTGGGAAACAACCAACAGACTTTGAATATACGTATGATCTTTGTATACTACATCTGTATCATTTTGTTTACAATACGAACCTTTCAAGTTGAATGGAGCTAGCTACTTAATATATCAAAATAAATGTCAGCATTTGCTCACTCAGTTCTTGGTTCCTAATCAATAAGTCGCTCATCTTCATTCAAAATGATTGCCAATGAACTAATTTTACAATTTGACTCATGATTTAGAAGAAATCAGTTTCTTCTCTTGTATTTAGCAATGAGAAAATTAGTTGTTAGAGGAGATAGAAGCTTATACCTGAATAACAATGCCATGTTTTTGTACTTACAATTTCTTGTGGTTCGATATAAAGCGAAATTGTAGATATTACCCATCCATAACAGGAAGACAATAAACAGATAAAAGGACTTCATTTGTTATTGTGCAAGACTTNTGAAAGATATTACCCATCCATAACAGGAAGACAATAAACAGATAAAAGGACTTCATTTGTTATTGTGCAAGACTTCTCTTAACTTTTAACTGTGCAAGGTACAAAAGATTTCTTAAACAAACTAAAGATGGAACATAAATCATGGACCATGAGCCCTCTCGGGAACTTTCTTAAAAGAGGAACCTCATGTATCTCTTTCCCTTTTTCCTTCATAGATAGAGTTGCGATTTATGCAAAACAACTTTTCTCTAGGTCTAATGTACAAAAATTCAATACTAAGCAACAACAGATGTAGCTGCCACGAGTATTTGTATGGGGTAAAATTGGTTAGCGACAGTTGGACAAATGACGAGATGACACATGAAACTAAAAACAGGTAAGATGTGCGTCAGCAAATTGCTAGCACCGGATGCAAGCATGTGATCGGTGCTGAGAGAGTCCCCAAGGAATCGAATCCGAGAACAAAGATTATGAAAGTAAAACAATGGTTGGAAAAGACAGCATTCAATGAGCAGCCGTTACAAGGAATCTCTATATTTATGATCAATCGTTATGCAACCATCAATGACGGTTTTATTCTCATTCAAGAGGATCTTGATGTGAGGATCTTGTCTCCCTAAATAGAGCTATAATTAGGATAATTAGTATCCATTGTAGGGGACGAAATATTACGTACACAAAAGCTAAAATCAGCACTCATTCTATAAAATTGCTCTTTACTTTGTTCTTAATATTGTTCTTGTTTCTGCTACAGGAGAAGCTAAATTTATAGCCAGGCTCGTATTTCATTTTATTTTATTTTATAATCTTATTTATGTCCTTATCTATTTCATATTTTTGGGTCAAATTAGTTCACGTATTTATAAACTATGTTACAAATTCAACTGCACCGTTTTACGGGTAAATAGTTTTGCGCCCACCATGGGGCATAGACAATTGTGTAATTGCTTTGATCCATTCATCTATTACTAACAAATTTTTATTCCTTTCTTAAGCAAAAGCATCTAATGATGTGAACAATTCCTATGATGTTGGAGCATACAACGAACATGAGGATGTGTTCCAACGTGATGGTTCAACTAGAGAAACCCGCAATGAAGGAGATGAAACAACTCCAGTTCGCGAAGGTCTAAATCCTCAACATGTGAGGAGGCCAACTCCTGATGTTGCGGATGACGAACACGTTGGGGAAACGGTCAAAATCTTAAGAGAGCAACATAGGAAAATTATGAATCACCTCTCAAGGCAAGACCAAGTGATGACAGAATCGAAGCAGGCGCTTTCGGTTGCTTCCAGTAATTCTAATGGAGGAGTTAGGATTCCTCCCAGCGTCCCTGCAAATCAAACAGTTCAAAGAATCAGTAATGACGCTCCAAGGGAGGAGTTCAATTTTAACTAGACATGAGGTACCGGTAGTGGATCCGGGAATGTCAACAATGCTAACGATCCTTTCAAAACCAAGCACATGATATTCATGAGGGAGATGAATGAACGAATGGAACAAAATGCTAAAGAATTCCATGCTCGTATGGATCACATACCGGTAGCGTCGCCGGTGCTAAAGGGAACGGATTCCAAGAAGTATACGCAGTTACCGTTCTAACCAAGTGCAAGCCCAGAATTGATTCCGAAAAGGTTTAAGATGCCGGATATTCGAAGTATGATGGGACTTCAGATCTACAAGAGCATATCACGACCTACACTACGATTGTGAAAGGAAATGACTTGGCCCAACACGATATCGAATTTGACTTGTTGAAGAAATTTAGCGAAACCCTGACGAAGGGTGCTTTAACTTGGTATTATCTTTTGCTGGAGCACTCCATTGATTCTATTGAAATGCTTATAGATTCTTTTATTAAAGCTCATGCTAGAGCAAGAAAGGTCCAAGCAAGAAAGGCGGATATATTCAGAATAGCCCAAGGAGAATCTGAACTATTGCAAGAATTCGTAATCTGTCTCCTGAAGGAAAGGATGTTGTTGCCGACAATACCGGACAAGTAGGCAGCGGAGGCGTTTACAAAGGGTCTCAATCCATTAAGCTCTGATGCCTCTAAGAAATAGAAGGAAAGCTTGTTAGAATTTCAGGCAACCACATGGGGAGATGTCCACAATCGCTATGCGTCAAAGATTAGAATAGAAAATGATAGACTGCATTCATCGATGTCTTCCAAAGGACGTATTCATGATCGAAATCAGGAGAAATTCAAAACTGATTTCGATGCAGATCAAAGGTCTTCTAGGAGTCGCTTCTAGCCTTATGAAAGGGTTGAGGGGTGTTGAAATAAAGGATTTCAGTCATCAGATAGGTCTGTTGTTGATAGAAGAGCTGATCGTGGTAGGAATAATAGAGCTTTACAGGAGAAGGAATCTACGGGGTCAGGAGATTCATCATACCCCCGGTTACCCGACTACAATTTTAACATCAACTTAGTAGAGTTGGCGTCGGCTATGAGGAATATTAAGGAGGCTAGGTTTCCAAAACTAATCCGATCAGATCCTAGCCAAAGGGGTCCTAATCTATGGTGTGAGTTTCATCGAACTCATGGTCACAGGACGGGGAATTGCTGACACCTTCTGGAAGAGGTGGCAGCATTGTTGAAGAATGGTCACCTCATAGAATTTCTAAGTAATCGGGCAAAGAATAATTATGGAAAAAATAGAGATGATGTTGAACCACAAAAATCGGTTGCAGGGTTACCTCGCTTGACGATTAACATGATTTTTGGTGGTAACAAAGTAAATAGGGTAACGTATTCAGCAGCAAAGAAGACGAAGATATCGATAATTCATGGCAAGAGGATCCGAGAAGCTGTGGAGGATGACATCACCTTCACAGAAGAGGATGTTGATGGACTTCTTCTACCGCACAATGATGCTCTGGTAATATCTCTTAATGTTTTAGATTTTAAAATTAAATGTGTGTTGGTTGATCTAGAAAGTTCAGCCAATACCATACAATGGAGAGTTTTGGAGCAAGCATGGTTAACCGGAAATATAGTTCCGGCAACAAAGCAAGGTTGTGTTCAACTTAACAAGTGTAACAACCCGGGGAGAGATTCTGCTGTCTACACATGTCCAAGGCGTAACAAAGACCACTCTGTTCGAAGTGGTAGATGGTTACATGGGATACAACGTGATCCTTGGAAGGACTTGGACGCATGAGATGAAGGTTGTTCCTTCAACTTATCATCAATTGCTGATAGCGACAATTACTAAAAAGGGCATTAGCGACAATAACAATAGTCGCTTATCATTTACAGGCCGCTGTTGTTTAGCCGCTGAAGTCGGGGTCGGTAAAGCATTTAGCGGCATTTATCACAAAAGCTCGTAAAAGGTATGACTTATTGCCGCTAAATATCATTTGCTTTACCAGCAATTATTTGCGACAATTATGATGGCTGCTAAATCCAAGATAAAACGGCTACTAATGCTCTTTTAGTGTCAATTTTTATAGCCGCTAAATTCAAAAAACAAATTATCGCTAAAAGTCCATACCTTTAGCGGTAATTGTTTTGTGGCGATTAGAATGGCTATAATATCCCTTCTGAAAACGTATTAGTATGCCCTTTTAGCATCCATTTTAACGGCTAGTAAATTCAATTAAATTGCCGCTAAAAGTCATCTTTAGCAGCAATTATAATGGCTATAATATCCCTTGTGGATACATCATAATTTGCCTTTTTATCATCCATTTTTATAACCGGTATATCCTGTTAAATTGGCGCTAAAATTGACAAGCTATAACGGGAATAGTTTAGCCACCATTAATAATAGCTACTACATTCGTTCAAAAAATGTTCCAAATACAAAAAATATTAATATTAATTCATAAAAACATAATGTATTTCATTAATTAACAAACAAAAGGAAGTACTAATCTAAAATATTAATATCACGGTAACTTAAAAAATAAATTTTTATTGTTTGAAGTAAATAGCTAATGTCATTATATGACTAATCCCAATGAATAATAGTCTTCAAATAATTTTTGAAACTCTTCGTCATATTGAAATCTTCGACTCGCTAAATTATCGATCATCAGACTGTATGACCTGAAATTATAAAATAACTGTCAATAGATGAAATATATGAGCACTATAGATGTACGCATAAGCAAGCAAATCTTCTTCTTCTACTAGTCATCACTAAATATAAGAGGAATACAAGACAGAGATGATCACACCAATGTAAACAGCAAAAAACATATAAACTTTATGCAAGACTTGGCGGAATTTCACTTCAAAAGAAGCTGCAGTTCTTCTATAAACCTCAATAAACACTGCCTCAAGCCAAAGTTTTTTTTAATGTACAATAACAGTTCAATTTTTGATCTCAAAACCTGCTCAAACTATCCAACAGGATGGGAACTGGCTCTTGTTACTGCATCGAGCAATAATACGAGCCAAGTCACACTAGATAAAAAATTGGCTGGAGGATTCAACAAGTTATTACTTGACAGCTTATATGAAGATGATGTAGCTAGGAGGCAAATACAGCTGCAAAATGCTGGCTATAGTGCATACGGGTATGAAATCCTTGCACATAACTCATTCAATCAACATGACCCCTTTGCCATGTCAAACAACATAGCACCTCCAACGAACGTACAAATGGCAATAATGTCTCAGCAAAAGCAACAACAACAACAGCTGATGCAACAACAGCAATTCCTACAGCAAAATATGATGATGGTATCTAATAATCAATATCAAGGTCAATATCCTCAACAAATTCCATATATGGACTCTGCAAACACAGCTCAATGCCACCACAGGGAACCTAGTCACTGCTTTAGAGCTCTTCAACAAGACTACACTGTATTCTTTATACAAAAGATAACATCAGGGAGTAAGTAATGGAAAACTATGTATTGCTTATTGTTAGACACATACAAAAAATCAACTGGATTTTTTATTAGATACCACTGTTCAACCATAATGGAATGCACCCTATGTGTGCAGCAAGAAACTTTAGTCATGTTCTATTTATACTGAATTACCAAAGTTATATGATTGAGCTGTTGCAATCTTCCGAAGGAAAGAGATGTAAGAAGTTTGAAAGATATGTAATAATATTTAACAAATGAATAGATGAAATCTTTAAAGGAAGAAGAAAACGTTCGGGCGAAGATATACTAAGATCATGAAAGAAGATTTCTTAATGATCTATGGTGAAAAAAACTCAAACAGTAGCGCGCTAAAGGATAAAGATGAGTAGTACCGTGAGAAAGTGAAGTATTTTCAGCAACACTAGGTATCCTTGATGTTTGTGGTACTCGTTCATGGCCGTTGTTGGCGTCGAGGACCTGATAAATATTAACACATTAGATAAAAATACTTTTATATTATTAAAATTTCATTAAGAATGTCTAAAACTAATGAAATCGAGTTATTTGTTCACTTGAGGTGCCATTGATATTTTGAGGCGTCGATTCATTACAAGCATATTTGCGCATGAATTGTCTCATTTGGAGTAATTCTGATTGCATCTTCTCTTGATTTTGTTTCATCGGATTCATTTCTTCATTGTGTTTATACTTTAACTCGGTTATCTCTAGTTCTAACCTTTGTACAACCTCATTAGACGAATCCTCCGCAACAATATTTTCTAAGAAAGATCTACTACCCCATAGAACAGAAGGAGTTGGACCAAGTCCTAAACTATGAACATACCCACTTTTGTCATTTTCAAATACCTGGGAATACATATCACCTTCCGAAGCGACACTGCGAGGAGGTTGGTCAGTAGAGCTCTCACTATTGCTCATCCTTTCATTTATCATTTCCTGACCATAGAATACACAATAAATCCAATTTGGAATTCATCTATTCGCTTTTAAGTTTTTTCCCCTAACTATTTCACAATTTAGAAATTAAATAAAAAAAATCTTACGATTGCCTTGGCAGAATCATCATCCAGTGGTCTATCATTCTTACGTTTTTTATGAGTTAATATGAAAATTTGTGCTCGTGTAGGCTCTATCCCATTTACAGCCTTACAGATTAAAATTGATGTCAGATATGCGTGAAAAAAAGGATTTTAAAATATTATAGCTAGTAATTTTTACAGGTTTACCTACTCATCCATCAAGGTGGCAATACTTTTGGATACTCCTGTGTGAGACATCATTTGATTGGCTCCATTGTTTCTATTTGCTTGGGTACACCTCTGTCATTAAAATATTAACACGATGTCTCATAAATTATAAATACAAATTGAGCATAACTAGAGTTAAGACACTAAAAATAATCAACTAGAGGTATTTTAAAGATCTGTTGATACCTTAGCTTTATCCGAAAGCCAATAAGAGACAAGACTACTCCATTGATCCCTCGGTATGCGACTTGGTCTATTTTTCAGCAAAGCATCTCTAGTCTTATATTTTCGCATATACTCACTTTTTAAATTGCACTTGTAATCTTTTCATTTCTTTCCTAGTGACTTTAAGACATAAGCTTCTCCTCGTTTTGGGATAGAGAACTTCTTCTAATAAAATAAAGCGAACATTTAGAAGAAAACATCATGTATAAAAGATTGAGCTTGCTATAATAATTCCTCACAAAATCCACCAATTTCTTCTTTTCCTCATTGTCAAATTTTCTTCAATCATTTGCATGTAGAGGTGTTAGTTTTGAAGTTCTCGCAATAATTCCTAGATGCTAGCTTTCGGCCTTTTCCCCGACTGCTTGGTTACGATTATTAAACGGCACATCAACTATCGTCCCTGGAGGAAGTTTTCAAATATCTTTTAGTAAAGTAGGACCACAAACCTTTCTTGGCTCTGAATTACCTAGATGGTCATCATCTATTTATAGAATTATTAAACATATAAATTATACTTCTTCTATGGTATTCACATATTGGTTCATAAACTTTTTAAGAATAGAATTATTAAACTTGTAATTTATAGAAGAACCATATATCATATATTTTAAAAAATTTAAAACTTACTACTCCTATTTGTTGACTCTCCAGATATATACGCCATTTTTACAAATTTGTTTATAACTCTTTTGTTCATTAAGCATCAGTTTAACTAGTTCTGAAGCTAAACGGAATATAAGTTAGTTTATCTATTAAAAGTAAAAAATTATAATAGTAAGCACAAAGAAATACATCAATTACAAAGATTTTCATACAGAAAACAGTGAAAATGATGGATAGCCTTCTTGAGAAGCCGCAAACCGTAAAAATAATGTATAACACTTAGGCCTCCTAAAAGAAGTTGGCCCCAATCCATAACATAACACACCATAGACTAAATCAGTCGTACCAGATGTCAAGTTTTGATCCCAAAAGGAAGGCATAACAGGAAACTAAAGTATCAATTATTAAATCAAACCTTTGTCTTGCCCATAAATTATCAAGCTAACGAGCAAAAGAAATTTTCGTCAGTTGACTTCCCAGTATGTAAGTTACAGTATCAAAAAATGCATGTAATCAAAACTCAATAAGAATCAAGAAAAACTGGCCAAAGTAGTGAAAATATGAGAGAAGAAAACATGATTAGTCTCCCCACTCAAAGAACGCCCCTACATACATTAACAAATCTAGAGCTACAACATACATAAAGTTGATATTAATAGAGTTTACAACACCTACACTTAAAGAGAGACAAAAAGAGAGAACCTTTTGGTGTCTCAGCAACTTCCATTCTCTATCAAGTTTTAGTTGCAATGAAGATTAGAAGTGATATATACGGAGAAAGTGGGAAAAGTAAAATGGTTCTTAATGAGAGGAAATGAATGCAACAATTATTAGGGAAAATGCAAGCTTTGGTCTTTTCTCTTTAACTTTTTCTTCTTTTTCCCTTTAAAAATTTTATTTCATTTTTTGCATTCCCTCTTAATAATTGACGTGTTTCTGTTGTTTTTTTAAGATCATTTCCTTAGAAAAAAGTGTAGTTGCATGTAGCTTATTTAGTTAAAAATGCCAAATCAATTTTTTTATTAAAACATGCCAAAGAATTTTTATCACTAACTTAAAGAGGTTTTAAACAAAGTCTAACTATATCAGCAAGTAGTATGCAAAGCAGGAGCAAGGAAAGTTTAAAACGATGGCCGCCTGTCAGGTTATTTTATCAATGCATTAATAAGGTAAAATATTTTGCGAACCTTTTAGCCGCTAAAACTCTACTTTGTAATAAGGTAAAAACCAGTAATAACACACTAAACCATCAACGAACAATAGAATAAAAAGCAGTATATATATATATATATCATACTCGGGCAAAATTTTTGAACATAGTTGAATTCATATCTCGACTAATGGTATTCAACTAAAACATCAATATGCATCAACGACACTTAGAAAATTTCTGAACAATCACAAACATAGTAGTAGCCTTAGAAAACATACAGAGGAACCAATTCAAAAATAATAGAGAAACAGAGGAATCAATTCAATCAATCGACTATCAATCTAACAGCAGCCAGATATCACAAACGACTTAGCAAGCACATAAAAACCTATACTTTCACAAATCCCAAAAACGCCATAGTTGGATATCAAAAATCACAAATTGGTACCTGGTAAGCAAAATATTTTGCCGATAAAGACAAGAATGTGAAGGAGAAGAATGATTTTTGCAACAATCTTGAAACCTACACGAAAAGAGAAGTTGGAGACGGATGAAAAGGAGAAGATTGACAGCGAAGATTGAGCATTATCGAGCAACATCAACCCAAAATCAATTGTAAAATCGATTGCAAGCATGTAAGATTAAGGGAATTAGGAATGTGTTTTCTGGAGACCGTCGTTCAGTTCCCTTTTGATTAAAGAAAATATGTTTTCTTATTATTTTCTAATTGGAGGGAATGTAATATTTTGTCCAAAAAAATTAGAGGGAAAGATTTTATCTTTTTTTGTACAGAGGGAAAGCTAAAATAATAAAAAATTATTTTTAATTAATGATTTTTTGTTGCAAATTTTCTTTATTGTCGGTAAAAGGATATCTTTTACTAGCTAATGATCATATGCCGCTAATATTTTCGTCTAAATAATTCATTAGCGATGATTGTCTTATTGATGCTAAATAATTGCCGCCAAAGGCCTTTTTTATAGTAGTCAGCCGACTGCGAAAGAGATGAATGCAGATACCGTGTACAGTAGCAAGGGGAAAGAAATAAGCAAATAGCAACTACAGTACTTGGTGACCTCTTCCACCCCGATTGAAGACAATGGAGAAGAGGGGTCATCGAATTTTTATTAGGTACCGAGGTCTTTTCAAGTAACGGAGAAAATGGATGCGACCAAATCAACTGTTGAAGAACTCGAACAAGTGTCCTTGTTCACAAAGTTTTTAGGAAGAAAATTCCACTTAGGAATGGGATTGAGCCTCGAACTCAGGTTAAAAATTATTGATTTTATAAAAGCTAATCTCGATTGTTTTTCATGGTCACATTCAAACATGACAGGTATTCATTTGAAGTGGATGTCCACAAGCTGAGTTTGGATCTTAACTTCCCGCCAGTAAGGTAGAAGAAGCGACCGATAGCAGAGGTCAGAAATAGGTTTGTCAAAGAAAAAATAACCCCGTTACTAAATATAGGTTCAATTTGGGAGGTAAATTACTTCGATTGGTTAGCTAAGCGTAGTATTAGTGCCTAAAAAGAATAATAAATTTAGAATGTGTATAGATTGTAAAGATTTGAATAAGGCATGCCCCAGGGATTCTTTCCCGTTGTCAAATATTGATCAAATGATTGATGCTACGGTCGGGCATGAATTAACGAGTTTTCTTGATGCATAATCCAGGTATAATCAAATTCGGATGCACTCGGAAGATCAAGAAAAGACTCATTTATCACAAAATTTGGCACATGCTGCTATAATGTGATGCCTTTCGGGCTTAAGAATGCCGGAGCCACTCACCAGAGGCTCGCTAATAAAATGTTTGAATAACAAATTAGTAAGACAATGCAGGTTTATATTAACGATATGTTGGTTAAGCCTCTTAATGCAGGAGATCATTTGAATCATCTCCAAGAGACATTTGACATTTTAAGGAAATACAACATGAAACTCAACCCGGAGAAATGCACTTTCGGAGTTGGTTCCAGTAAGTTCCTGGGGTTTTTGGTCTCTCAAAGAGGAATCTAAGTAAACCCCGATAAGATCAAAGCCATCAAGGATATACCATATCAATTAACAAGTGTGAAAGAAGAGCAAAGGTTGACCGGCAGGTTGGCACCTCTAAGTAGGTTCATCTCAAGGTCTTCGGAGAAATACCATCATTTATTTTTGCTTTTGAAAAAGAAGAACAATTTTGTGTGGACTCCGGAATGCCAGCAAGCATTGAAAACCCTAAAAAGGTACATTTCTAGCGCTTCGTTGCTGTCAAAAACGTTGGAAGGTGAGCAATTGTTAATTTATCAAGCAGCCTCGGAAGTAGCAGTAAGTGTTGTTCTGGTCCGGGAGGAAGAAGGTACGTAATTTTCTGTTTATTATATTAGTAAAATTTTATCGGAGGCGGAGACACGTTATCCGCACCTTGAAAAGTTGGACTAGCTCTCGTGATCGGTTCTCGAAAGCTTAGGCCTTATTTTCAATGTCATCCCATTGCCATCGTGACAACGTTTTCTTTGAAGAATGTCCTTCATAAGCATGAATTATCGGGTCGGTTGGCTAACTGGATAATCGAAGTAAGTGAATTCCAAATAGAATATAAACCCATGACTGCGATCAAGTCACAAGGCTAAGTTCCAGGTATGATCTTCTAAACTCTTCTTTTCTGCTCTCTGAATCGCCATTTTTTCTTCTTTCTTCTTTTTCTGTTGTTGCTTCTTCCCTAATTGCTTTTCTCTGCTCTCCACAATTTGAAACGACATCCACCTTATTTCGCAATCAATCCATTAGATCCATCGGTGAATCCTTTAATCAAAGGGGACTTTAGTGTAGAGTCGAAGGACTCATGCCTTAACAGTGTCCTTTGACGAATCTCTAAGTTAACGTCAAACACCGATTTGACTTAAGAATTTTAATTGTATAATTCACCGTTGCTAGTCCTTTTGGTTTTAGTGTTGTGTTTATAGTTGTTGCTTTTGACATTTTACACTACAAGAAAAAACCTTATTAGGGACTAGCATTTAGCCTAAAAGTGTACTTACAGGGATGAGAATTTTTATTGGTCTTTAACACGCAATTTAATCTTCTAAATACATGACCACACTTATTCTGGTCTATACAAAAGTTAATATCTGGTCTCTAATAGTGCTTGATTTCAGCGGGATAGGAGCACCAAACTGATGAAAACCAAAGTAAAAAAAAATGCTCCAACAAATTTCACGGTAATCCCTCCAAATTCACTTTCACCCTAACATCCCTCCAAAATACTTTCACAAAATGCCTAAACTTCATCCCTAAGAGGCGAAACTAAAAAGTAGGCCATGGCGCTGCTAAACTTCATCAAAATTCAGAAGGTTGCAAAGAACTCAGAAGGTTGGTGTCGAAAATTCATCTCTCTCCAAGCGACTCCACACAAAGTATACCATTAGATTATCCGCCTAATCAAGAGTAAGTTTAATTTCTTTCTCTTTAATCTGTTCTGTTTCTTTTTTCTTCTTCGTGCTTTTTTTCCCCGATTGAATCAGAAATTGAAAAAAGGGTTCTACAATTTTTTGTTTCATTAGTTGTTTTCTGCAATTGGTTGTTTTGAATACTGGTGTGAGTGATAAAAGTGAGATTATTGGGTTTTAAATTGGGGCTCATAGGTCAAGGAGGAGCAATTTATACAAAAGAGGGGTTGTTTGGTTGCTTGTAAAATCATCCCGACATCAGAGAATGTGAGACACCCCAAAACTGAAATTTCACCAAAAATAGGTATTTGTTGCTCGTATTAGGACTGCAATATAATTTATAATTTGGTTCAACATATCCCAACATTCAGTCATGGAATAGATTCTGCTTTTTTTTTCTTTCAAGCAAATGGGGCTCAAATCTTAGTAATGATAAGGCAAAGAGAAGCCAACCACGCAAAGGCTGCAAACACCGGTCATACCGGCTTGCCACGCCAAGATACAGGTTGGTTAATCGCTCAATGCCCGAATTGGTTAGCCCAGATATAGAAACACCATCGTCACTGCCTCTTCATGTACTTTCCATCAATACCGAAAAAACAAAGCACGCACTCACACACAAGAAAGACAGCGATGTCAGTATATATATTTTTTCTTGTAGAGTTTCGTCTATGCGATAGTTTAATCCTTTGCGATTTGCATTATACAATTCATCTGGAGACTTTTTTGAAGGTTCATGAAAATTTTGTAGGATGTCTTTGTGGTTTTTCGTATGAGGTGATGAGTTGGTTGAATTCTTTTTCTTACTATTAGGTGCTCTAGTTCAGTTTCTTTACTCTGATTGTTATGGGTTCTTTAAATTATATAGTCAACTTATTACCTTTGGTAAGTCTAATCAATATTTTAAAAAATTAGATGAAGAAGAAACAGTGATGTAAATTAGCTTTGTTAAAGTATTTTCCATGTCAAACAAATTTTCTAATGAAAACATTCCATTGAGTTCATCCACTGAATTTATTTAGTCAATAGCACTCTAGTTAGAGTGATGGACTCACTCGTCGAAGCAATTCGTTGTCAACGCTTGCATTTATTCTATCGGGAACTACTTCCTCCAAAATAAGGTCAATGTTTTGAGCATTATAATATAGACTCTATTTTGATTCTAGTTATAATGTAAGTTTTATTTTGATTGGAAAAGAATATTTTGATGGAGAGGAAAATATAGTTCTTCACTAAATTAATAAATCTCGGTGCCGGTTTTTGATTATGTTGAAGAAAAATAGCATTTCTGAATCGTTGCCTTAACAGTCGGAGGACCCATGCCTTAACTGATTTCCTTTGACCAATCTCTGAGTTAACATCAAACGTCTAATTTTAATTGTATAATTCATCGTTGCAAGTCCTTTTGGTTTTAGTGTTGTGTTTATAGTTGTTGCTTTTGACATTTTAATCAGCCCATCCTTGCCAGTGGTGTTAGTGTTGTGTTTGTAGTTGTTTGCTCTATTTAGGTGTTTTCCGGTACTACTGTTAACTCTTTTCTTCTATCTTTCAGTTTTAGGGTTACATTAATTCATAGAGAAGAAAAGGATCTCTATTTATTCAAACTAACTTGGATAGGAATGAGGAAGGTGAAATCTTTTTCCTTTTTCCCGGATTGTTTTTTTAAAAAAAAAGTATTTGTCATGAAAATTTATAAGTTTTCAGAAATTCTTTTTTCAAACTAATAAAATTGTAATATTTTTGTTAAGTAAAACATATGTCAAAACATAATTTCAAATTTCATAGTACCTTTTTTTCAACTTAACTCAAAAACTATTTTTTTTTAAATAAAATAAAAATCATCCAAATGCCTGCTACTTTGCACTCTTTTCTTTCGCTGCTTTCAAAGGGTTTTTCAGAAGATCTTCTTTCTTCTTCAACGCTAAGTTCCAGGTATGATCTTCTTCTTCTTCCCTTTCTTCTCTGCTCTTCTGCTCTGAATCGCTGCCTTAACAGTCGGAGGACCCACGCCTTACCAGTTTTCCTTTGACGAATCTCTAAGTTAACGTCAAATGTCGAATTTTAATTGTATAATTCATCGTTGCAAGCCCTTTTGGTTTTAGTGTTGTGTTTATAGTTGTTGTTTTTGACATTTTAATCAGTTTATCCCTGCCATTGGTGTTAGTGTTGTGTTTGTAGTTGTTTTCTCCGTTTTAGGTATTTTCCGATACTACTGTTAACTCTTTGCTTCTATATTTCAGTTTTAGGGTTACATTGATTCAATTATCTTCCTCCCTTCCCTTCCCTTCCCTTCCCAATAATACTACCTATTTTACTTCTTGCAGTTTTCACTTTTTAAAGGATTTTTACTAAGATGCCTATGGTAACACGTGGTGCTGCGAAGCGTCTTCGGAAACTGTCTAAAGATCCCGAGGCGGATTACGATGGGGTGGTTTTTTTTGTATATTGTTATGTTTCTTCTTATTTAATCAGTACATTGTGCATGCCCATTTAGATTTTTGATGGGTAAAACTTAGAATACTGGATCCGTATTTTAGTCTTTTGTGTTCTTTGAAACCAGGTAGATTGACCCTAAGCGGTCAGATCCGGTGTGTTTTAGACCCCTCATGTTGTATAGACTGAAGGTGTGTTGATTAGCAAGCTGATTGTATTTTGATTCCAATGATAGTCTGGATGTGGTTTTGAATGGTAACTGATTTGTTGGTTTTACAGTTAAATGTTCGATCAATAATTTATGCTCTTAAGAATTTTGATTCTGATTCGATGAAGTTGTTGGCGATCAAACAACGCCAAAAATTGTTCCATTACGGTATGACTATGACTATGACGCATATCACTTACGTTCAAATTTTTTTTCACAGGTATAATTACTGCTCTAGAAGATGCTCGAGACTCTGGTGAACTTGTTCCTCTACTTAAGGAAATTCTAGGGAGAGAGGATTCATCAGAGCTCAAGGTAGATAGTGATGTGTTGATCACCTTTTTGTGCCTCTTATTTAGTGTCTTGTGGTTGTAGCTTCACATTTGCTTTATTCTTATGGTTTTGTGGTCACAGTCTAAAGCTGCTAAGGCTGTCATAGACAGTATTCCTCAATTGTTGGAGCTAACTGATTTGGTGATTGAGAATAAGCTGGTGGAAGCTCTTCTAAAGCTTCTGCATTTTCCATATGGTAATGTTTGTGAGCAGGTATGTTTTAAAATTGGTAGACCCCTATGCTGTATAGACTGAAGCTATGTTTATTAGCAGACTGATTATTTTTTCCTTCCAAATATGGGCAGTGGAGAAACTGGGAAAGGTTGCTCAATCCGTTGTAGGTCGTGATTATGCTCTAATTGAGTGTGGGGCTTTGGATGATTTTATGGAAATTTTGAACAACATTAACGAGATTTCAATGCTGAGAAAAACCACGTGGACTATATCAAAATTTTGTGGAGGCAGGCCAAAACCGCCTTTTGAGAAGGTCGATTAATTATTGTTGATTTTTTTTTTTGCATCTGCAACTATTTGATGCTAAACATTACTGATTACAATTCAATTGTCAGGTGAAACCAGCATTCCCAACTCGTCGTAACTGTTAGTTTATAGATATGTATAGTGTAGTCTTGTCCCACATTGGAAGAGGAGTAATATCTCCTTGTAGTGTATAGCTATAAATAGGGACATCTTGTATTGTATTTATCATCCAATATCAATAACATATTTTCTCCCGTGCCTTCTCACATGGTATCAGATCATTAGTGAGAAACAATCGTTGTGCGTCATTCCAGCGTTAACCGGGAAGAAAGAACTTAGTCTTCGTGCATTTTTTCCAGTAACCTAAGGCTTGTCTAAGTGAAAGTCATTTTTATCGGTGTTGTGCTAAAACCAACACCACCACGAGGTAGATCATCCTCCGATGACCAACCCCTAAAATTATATCCGATAGAAAAGCCGCCACGCTCCTCAACGCGCCGGCAACAACTTTTCCGGCGAGGGTTCCGACCACTTTTCGGGCATTTTTTCACGAAGCTTCTTCGGGACAATGTGCTCTCCTCAAAATTCTAAGCCTACCCATCTAGTTCAAATCAAATTCCGACCATTTTTATATTTTTCCGCCGTGAACAGTGAACTTTCCTGCCATTTTTTGAAAACATTTCTTCAGGACAGCTTGCTCACAAAGGAATTCCGAGTCTATCCATCCTGGTTACAACAAATTCCAACAACTTTGGAATTTTTCGGCGAGCTACAGTGTTTCCGGCGTGAACAGTGGTTTCGGCACAGAACAATATTCAGTTTTCCTACTGTAAACAGTGTTTTTCAAGCTATTTCTCAGTTTTCTCACAAGAGTTACTTATTTTCACTATTTGAAGTTAACCCTACTACTACAAATTGTAGCGACATGGGAACCGATGCTTTGAATAGTCGGATGATTTCTTTAGCAGAGTATATTGAGTTCCTTCAGTATAAAGCATGTATGAAGATATCTTCTGAGATAGCTTCTGTTGTTCAAACAGGTTATAGCGTGACTTGTTTCTCCCATTCTTCATCCTCTGAGTCTTGGGTCATTGATTCAGGTGCATCAGATCATATTTCTGGTAACGAATCTTTTTTCACTACTATTTCGTATTCTCAATCTCTTCCAAAAGTCACAATGCCCAATGGGTCTCAAACCATGGCAATTGCAATAGGTCAAGCAAGCCCACTTCTTTCCTTACCTTTAGATTCAGTCCTTTATGTTCCCAATAGTCCTTTTAATCTCATAGTTGTTAGTCGCTTAGCCAAATCACTTAAATGCGCTGTTTTATTTCTTGATGACTATGTTTTTATACAGGAACGCAGTACGGGACGGATTATTGGTACCTAGCATGAATCAAACGGACTTTATTACATTATCCTTGCTAAATCACATGGACTCACATCTTGTCTTCCTTCTACAACTTGTCCTGTTACTGATTCACCAGATTTATTACATAAACGGTTGGGACATCCCAGTTTGTCAAAACTTCAGAAAATGGAATCTGGTTTATCTCACTTGTCAGCTCTAGAGTGTGAGTCATGTCAGCTCGGTAAGCATACCCGCTCCCATTTCCCTCGGCATCCTGATAATCGAGCAGAGTCACCTTTTACTTTAGTCCATTCAGATGTTTGGGGTCCTAGTCGGGTCAGTTCCACCTTAGGATTCCGCTACTTTGTCAGTTTCATTGATGATTATTCCAGGTGCACTTGGATATTTTTGATAAAAAATCGATCTGAGCTGTTTTCTATTTTCCAGACCTTCCACGCTGAAATTCAAAATCAATTTGGGGTTTCTATTCGCACATTTCGTAGTGATAATGCCCGAGAGTATTTGTCTTTCCCATTTCAGCAGTTTATGAAATCTCATGGGATTATTCATCAAACATCTTGTCCGTACACATCTCAACAAAATGGGGTAGCTGAAAGAAAGAATAGACATCTTATTGAAACTGCTCGTACCTTACTCATACAATCTCATGCTCCGTTGCATTTTTGGGGGGATGCAGTTCTTACATCTTGCTATCTTATTAATCGTGTGCCATCTTCAGCTATCCAGAACCAAGTTCTATTCTCTTTCATGTTTCCCAACTTACCTTTGTTCTCTCTTCCACCCCGTATCTTTGGAAGCACTTGTTTTGTCCATAACCTTACTCCAGGAACGGATAAGTTAGCTCCTCGTGCTCTTAAGTGCATATTTTTGGATTTCTCGAGAACAAAAAAGGGTATCGATGTTACTCTCCTGACCTCCAGCGGTACCTTATGTCCGCTGATGTTACCTTCTTTGAAACCCAATCATATTTCACAGGTTCAGGTCATCACTTAGATATTTCTAAGGTACTACCAGTTTCATCTTTTGGAGATTCAGTCAATCCAGCTCCACCACCTATAGCTCTAGTTCCACCACCTACAACTCTGGTTGTAGCTCCACCACCTATAGATCTAGTTCCTTCACATAATCCAGTTCAACCTTCTGCAGCTCCACCACTCTTGACTTATCATTGCGTGTACATCCAGCATCAGGCCCAGGTGATTCACGACCCGCATCAGATTCTGCACCTATTGCGGACTTGTCTCCTCTTAGTCAACCAATTGAACTCCGCAAAGGTGTATGATCCACACTTAATCCTAATCCCTACTATGTCGGTTTAAGTTATCATCGTTTATCGTCACCTCATTATGCTTTTATATCTTCTTTGTTCAATGTTTCTATCCCTAAGTCTATAGGTGAGGCACTATCTCATCCAGGATGGCGACATGCTATGATTTACGAGATGTCTGCTTTACATGCAAGTGGCACTTGGGAGCTTGTTACTCTTCCTGCAAGTAAGTCTACGGTTGGTTGTCGTTGGGTTTATGCAGTCAAAGTCGGCCCGGATGGCCAAGTTGATCGGCTTAAGGCTCGTCTTGTTGCAAAAGGATATACTCAGATTTTTGGGCTTGATTATAGTGATACTTTCTCTCCCGTGGCTAAAGTAGCATCTGTTCGTCTATTTTTGTCCATGGTTACTGTACGTCATTGGCCTCTTTATCAGTTAGACATTAAGAATGCTTTTCTCCACGGTGATCTTGAGGAAGAAGTTTATATGGAGCAACCACCTGATTTTGTTGCTCAGGTGGAGTTTAATGGTTGTGTGTGTAGATTGCGTAGGTCGCTATATGGTTTGAAACAGTCCCCTCGAGCTTGGTTTGGTAAGTTCAGCACAATTATTTAGGAGTTCGGCATGACTCGTAGTGAGGCTGATCACTTTGTGTTTTATCGGCATTCTGCTCCTAATCTGTGTATTTATCTAGTGGTTTATGTTGATGATATTGTTATTAATGGTAATGATCAGGATGGTATTACTAATCTGAAGCAACATCTCTTCCAGCACTTCCAGACTAAGGATCTGGGCAGATTGAAGTATTTTCTAGGTATTGAGGTCGCTTAGTCTAGCTCAGGTATTGTTATTTCACAGCGGAAGTATGCCTTAGACATTCTTGAGGAAACTGGAATGATGGGTTGCAGACCTATTGACTCTCCTATAGATTTGAATGCTAAGCTTCTGCCTGGACAGGGGGAGCCTCTTAGAGACCCTACGAGATATAGGAGGTTGGTTGGCAAATTGAATTACCTCACAGTGACTAGACCTGACATTTCTTTTCCGGTGAGTGTTGTAAGTCAGTTTATGGATTCTCCCTGTGATAGTCACCGGGATGTAGTTGTTCACATTCTTCGATATATAAAGTCAGCTCCAGGCAAAGGATTACTATTCGAGGATCGAGGCCACGAGCAGATTGTTGGGTACACAGATGCTGATTGGGCAGAATCACCTTTTGATAGACGTTCTACGTCTGGATATTATGTTTTAGTAGGAGGTAATTTGGTCTCATGGAAGAGCAAGAAACATAATGTAGTTGCTCGATCTAGCGCCGAAGCCGAATATCGGGCCATGGCTATGGCGACGTGTGAGTTAGTTTGGGTCAAGCAGTTGCTCAAGGAGTTGAAGTTCGTAGAAATCGGCAAGATGGAACTAGTGTGTGATAACCAAGCTGCTCTTCATATTGCGTCAAATCCGGTGTTTCATGAGAGGACTAAACACATTGAGATCGACTGCCACTTTGTCAGAGAAAAAATACTTTCAGGATATTGTTACAAAGTTTGTAAAGTCGAATGATCAACTAGCAGATATTTTCACTAAGTCTCTTACTGGTTCTCGTATTAGTTACATGTGTAACAAGCTCGGTACATATGATGTGTATGTACCAGATTAAAGGGGAGTGTTAGTTTATAGATATGTATAGTGTAGTCCTATCCCACATTGGAAGAGGAGTAATATCTCCTTGTAGTGTATAGCTATAAATAGGGACATCTTGTATTGTATTTATTATCCAATATCAATAACATAACTTCTTCCGTGCCTTCTCACAGTAACCTTCTTGCTTCAAATGTTGATGAAGAGGTGCTGAAAAATGCATGCTAGGCACTTTATTACCTTTCTGGTGGTGTAGATATGACCTCCAATGGATATTGCTCTAGATTAAAATTCATTCCTCATCCTGGTGTGAGCCGTAGTGATATGATTAAGGCCTTCTTTCAGGCTGATGTTCTTCCGATGCTACTTGATCTCTTCAATTGATTGGAATATTTTTATTTTCCTCATTTAACCTACCTTTTCCTATCTAACTTACGATTGTATATGATATATACGTCAATTGATGTTTTAGAGAACACTTACGTTCCGTAATCCCCCCTGCCATCCGTACAGTTATACGTATTAGCAAGCTGGGAGATGAGCACCAGAGAGAGGTACGTGGGTATAAGGAACTTTCGTGGTTGAACCAAAACACTTTGATGAACTAACCAATGAAAAAAGGAACAAACTAAAATAAATAAAGTGATTGAAAGGTAGAAACATCTTAAACAACATGTAGTGAGATTATAATTTAGCATGTTCCTGATTCAACGTCAAATTTGATTTGTTTACCGCCTAATTTCTAATAGCCTCCGAAGAACCCACCCATTTGGTAAAGATGTCCACCACAATATTTTTAAAAAGTCTTCTTACAGTAAGATTGTTCGACTGAAGGTGTAAAAATAGGTTATTTGTCATCTTCAAGTCATGGGCAAGTCCACCTCCCAGCTCCAGTGCTGGCCATCTAGGCTGCATTCATTTTTTTGCCTACATTGTTTTTTAGTTTTTTATAACTGATATTCACTAACTTGGCCTTTTTAGATCTTGGGACAAAATTTCTATGTATGTAAGCTGGTAATAAGAAACTTTTTCTTGATTAAAAGAAGAAAGAAAAGAAAGAAGAAAAACTTGGAGTTGTCTAGATTTAGGTTGAAAAGCATCTTCAACACTCAAAAATTGTGCTTGTAAACTTCAAAATGGGGCCTTACTTTCCTAGATATCTCTAGGCATTGTCCATTTTGAGCTCAAAATGATGAAAAACATATCCCACAATTGAGCAGTAATTTTTCAATGTAGAAATTGGTGGTTTGTGTCCTCCGGTTGCTCTTCGCATAGAGAGCATTTGCTCTCAATGGGCATTCCTCTTATTTGCAAATTAGACTGTGTGGGACATGTATTTTTTCCTACTAACCAAGTGTAGATCTGAATTTTGTAAGATGTTGATCGGAGCCCGGAGCATTGCTAAACGTAACGTCCTTGATTGCCTGTTGGACTTGCTAAAGAGTGGAATAGAGGAGGAGATGGTCTGCGCATCTATAGCATACATTACTATTGGGAGCACGCAACGGGCAAATGTATGTCGTCTGGATTTAAAAGGATAACTAAATATATTCAGCTCTTGCATACATTGTCTGCATGTCTTCTAAGGTGCAAATTTTACAAATGTTGGGTGGTCAAATAGGGAGTTCTTTGCATTTTATATCCTTGACCTATCAGTTACTTTTTGATTCACTACTAATCCTTTTTTATTTTACGATTTACCCCTTAATACATTCATATATTTGCAAAATTGTGAACGAGTTCAGTTTTCAAGGTGCAAAATAGGAACTTTTTTTTGTCAATTATAAAATAAAGGTAGAGAAAGAAAGAAGTTGCCCGGAGGAATGAAATTGAAATTTTAACCTTAAACTGGAACTGTGGATGAATGTGTTAAAACTAAAATCATGAATCCTTGTGGTTGGTGTTAGAATTTCTGAACTTCGTGATACCGGTGATAAAGTAATGGATCACTTATTCAATCAAATTTAATTTATCCTTAATCTTTATAATACCAACTGTTGTTGAGATGTTCCAAGGGATAATCGCAATAACATTTGAGATGTTTTCCTACCTTCTTCAAGTTTCACTCTACGGGGTCGTTTGGTACAATGGTGGGATATCCGATGGGATTGGCTAATCCCACCTTTTTAGCATAAAATTTATCCCCTGATTAGCTAATCCCTACAATCAAACATGGGACAAATTTAATCCCAATTTATATACATGGATATCCCACCTTATCCTATGAGCCAAACGACCCCTAAAATCTATTCTATCTTCATAAAAAACTCCTTTTTAAAATAAAAATTATTTAATTTCTGTTTTGCTCTTGAAAAATAAGATCTTTCATGATTTTAAAAAGAAGGGGGACGTAGCAGGTTTTGTTCGTGTTATTGCCTAAATGAGTGCGTATAGTCCTTTTGCTAACGGAGACTAACAGTCCAAACAAAATGTTTACTACTGAGAATGGCAGTTTGGGTATTACAGCTACACTACTTTTAGCTTAGGATGCTACTTTTCCGGATTGGTTGTACATAGCAAGTTATTTTGTTTTAAAAGTGTACAGATTCACGTGGCAAGCAAGATGATCACGTTAATTTCACAATAAAACACCACTTTCCTTTTGCTAATCTTAGAAGAGTGTGCCCTCTCTCGCTCTAGATCTATCTTTATCTCTCTTCGAATCAAATGCAGCTAATCCGATGAAATCTCAAGAGGAAAGTTAAGCTTGTTTTTGAATTGGTTGTCCTTGAATTTGGGCTATTCATTGTTTTTAAATTGCTTTAATTTTGGGGTTATATTTATCTGACATGTGGGTAATTTGTTTCTTAGAATCTTCACTAACTGATTGTTTAATTGTTGCTGAAATTCATTGCCTGTTCGTGTCAGTGTTCTACAAGTTTTCATTTTTAAAGTGTCCATTTCCAAGCTTTGCTATTTTTTTGGTTATAAAGATTGATTATTTCTATGCTGAAAGATTTGTTTTTTTTTTGTTAGAACTCTTTCTTTTTCTGCTCTAGTTTGGATTAAGTCAAGGCATTGTCTAGTGAAACTCTTATTAGCCATAAAACCTTTCCATTTTTAACTGCCGAGTGGATGTCATTGAGCTGATACAGTGAATACTGCTTAGCTAGAAGAAAGAACTGGTAGAGTTAAGCATGGCGTTAGGATACAATCATCAATGGATCAGAATTAACTCGGATCGTAATGGAAGAAGAGAGGAGGGCTTGTATATGGTTGTGAGGGAAGATAACCATAGAAAGAGCTCTAATTGTTTCCTCTTCGTATAATTAGGTCTTTTTAAAAGTGTTCTAGCTGTAATACCCAAAAGCTGTTCGCAGTAGTAAACATTTTGTTTGGACTGTTAGTCTCTGTTAGAAAAACGAATATAAGCACTCATTTTGTTTACTTAAAGGTTAAATGTGCTACCCCAAATTAACACAGGGAGTAAAACTGATATTCCTCCCTAAAAGAAATGAATTGATCAAGGGGTAATTCATAAAAAATAAAAGGATAAGGGTATGAGTAAAAAGCAGTGCATACATTAGGGATGTAAAAACCAAAGAACTCTCAATTAGGTGAATATGAGAGTGAAATAGTTGGTCTAATAGTTAGAAATAGAAATAGAGTTGTAAAAAAAAAAAAAAAATCTTTTAGTGATCGACTTTTTAGTTGATGAAACCTTCTCTACATAGCCATTTATCTAAATAGTTGTTTGTAATGTTTGAGCAGGCTGTATTTGATGTTGGATTAATAGAACCTCTACGCACACTGGTACAACTAAAAAAATGGGTATTGCTGCTGCTGCACTTTCAATTGCTATTAACGGTACCAGTGACATTGCGTACACCAAGTATGTAACCTCTTTTTCTCGGTAAATCATCCCTCTTGTATACTGATTATTTTACTAACTCTGGTGTTTTTTTTCCTCGTGCTTTTGGCTTTAGAGACTTGGTGGATTGCTGCATAGATCCTCTATGTGATTATCTTGGCTTCTCTGTGGTCATGCAACTTGCGTCATCAGTCTAAAAGGAGTAGAAAGCATATTGAAGTTTGGAAAGCGTATTGAAGAGGAATATGGCGGCACTGGTGGTTATACTAAGCGGATCGAAGAGGCTAGGGGTTTGGAAAAGCTTGAATACTGTCTAATACTAAAATTCGATATGAGGTTGTTCCAATATTGGGTACATATTGGTTTTCACTAGGACGTTATGCTGAGGTGACTTTGACATACTTTTCATCTTCATACTTTCCATCTTCATATGACTTAACCTTTTCTTAACATACTTTCCATCTTCATATGACAGATGTTGTGTATGATTGAGGTTCAGATCTCTGACGACGGAAAATGTGAGGACCCAATGTGGTATTAGTGATGTCTTAAAGGATTAACCTGTTCATGACCTATTTTCCATCTTTATATGACAGAGATGGCGTATAGTGGAAAGGGATAACTTTTTGACAAATTTCTCCATTATTATATTTATACATTTCTACTTCTGCCTTCTTATAAATGAAAACTAGTCACCTCATGATAAACATGCTTACCAACTGCAAGGGTACCATTGGAATTTAAATTTTTTGTTTTGTGCTCTAAGGATTCGTATTCTTGCAGCATTCATGTGTTTTGCTTTGGCTTGAATGGACGAAAAACTCAATTTATTTGCATTTAATGCCTTTCGTCTTCCAGCCTTGGGGTCTGTTTTTATGCTACTTTATCTTTGTATTGCTGTAGTTTCTCTTAGTTTTCCTTAGAAGAATTATCCCAAATAGCCGCTCATCCAACCGCTCAAACTAAAAAATAGTCGGTGAAGGTATCCGCTGAGTCCGTTTTGGTAAATCCCCCTGCGGCACGTACTACAATGCCACAGACATCAAGACATGCTTTCCCTGTGCTGTTATGATTAGTTAATCTGCTACTCGCTTTGCTTCAATTTATGTGACAATTTAAAACGGAATGGAGTAAGAAAAACATGAAGACTGGAAAAACTTGTGGCTCTAAACATGTCATTTATGTGGTTATCATAGTTCTGGTGTACAAAGGCAGACTCAGGATTTGAGCGCAATGGGGGCACCGCTATCTTTAACACAGATATGTCAGCTAATAACGACAAAATTTGGCGCGCTAACTCCTCGAAAATTTCATGAATATGAGTCAGAGACCGAAAGGATGTTCAAAAATATAAAAAACTTAGTCAAATAAGATCAAGATTAAAGGTCTATTAAGCAATCCATGCAGAGTCTCAATCACTGTCGTTGAATCGATAGATGTTTGCTACTTTGCTGAAGTGATCTTTGTAAGCAGAAGGGTTTTTAGAGTTTTTTATTACTATTTTGGGAAAATATTTGGTGAATTACTTATTTTTATGCATGTCAAGAAAATGATAATGCTTATAAACTTAGATATAAGGATAAAGAAGATGATTGACTTCTTGCTAATGGAATATCTTATCCCCCCTTCTAAGTTCTATGTACTATTACTAAATTATTGTTCATTAACTTAGAAAAGATAAAGAAAAATAAATTGAAAACTAAATACAAGATACTACACTATGTTGAATTCTAATAGGTTATGTGCTCTGTTATGTTTTAATGATCTAACAAACTTAATAATAAGAACTAGATGGGGAACCTATTATACATCCTCAAAGTGCTCAAAAATAACAAGTCTCAAGTCGGGCACAAGTTCCAACAATCAGAGTCAAAGAAACGACAGAGGGAACAGATGGACATCAATTCTCTTGCTGACTATACCAGTCAACTCCCCAAAGTTGTAAAGTCGCTGCAACTGTTCCTCTGCACACACGTAACGGTGCAAATAGTGCAACAGTCACTTTATGGGAAATACCTTGTACCGGATAATTGCTTGCATCATCCAAGTTTTATCACTTGTATATTATCAACATGATGCAAGGGAAAACAAGTCACTTGAACACTTAGGAAAATTATCAAGCTTCTCTCTCAGTGTGCTCCCATCTGCAAGTGACTTCCGGCTTTCAAGAACGAACAACAACAGAACAAGGACCAGTTTCAGGTACTGCATTACTATATGTCCTTCGTGGTGTTGTACCTTTGTTAGAGCAATCCACTTGTAATTCCTACTTAGCTTAGCTGGAAGCATTGTGTAGGAAATCTGTTGTAAAATCATAAACCTTATGTTTGTGTCTTGGCTAGAGTTGGGCGAGTTGTGAGCTTTGTAATAGAGTTATTACAAGTGAGTGGGGGATTAAGAGTTTAATTCCTAGGTTACAAAATTTTGTATCTGAAGTTTGCTCAGTAGTGAAGTTGAAATCCTACAAGTGTAGGTCGTGGTTTTTAATCCCGTGAGCTGGGAGTTTTCCACGTAAAGCTTTGACGTGTCATTTACTTATCTTTATTTGTGTCTGTTGTGTGGGAACTGATAGAGAATCAGGTTCTCTATACAGTTTGGTGGACTCCTAGGTTTCTATCAATTGGTATCATAGCAGGTTCTTTCTATCAGGCTAACATGTATAAAGGATCCTCATGACTGCTCCACCAAATTTTGAAGAAGGTCAATCTACCTATAGGTCACCAAAGTTCAATGGACAATACTACGAATAGTGGAATACAAGGATGCGTGATTTTATCATGGCTGAAGATTTAGAGCTCTGGGATGTTATCTACAATGGACTCTTCGTCCCTATGAAGAGCATTGATGAACCAGCAGTGATAGCTCCCAAGACAAGGAAGGAGTATAATGATGCTGACCGCAAAGCTATAGAGAAGAACTTTCGAGCAAAAAAGATCCTTGTCTGTAGTATTAGACCAGACGAATACAACATGATCTTTGCATGTCAATCAGCCAAGGAGATCTGGGAAGCTCTCCAAATAGCGCACGAAGGAACAACTCAAGTCAAGCAGACGAAGATTGACATACTCACCACTGAGTATGAATTCTTCAGGATGAAGGATGATGAGTCCATTCAGGATATGCACACTTGATTCACCTCCATCATCAATGAGCTTCACTCTTTGGGAGAAATCATTTCAAGGAACAAACTTGTCAGGAAAATACTTAGTATACTACCTAGTTCTTGGGAAAGCAAGGTCAATACTATCACAAAGGCAAAGGATCTGCAAAAATTGACCATTGATGAACTCATTGGAAATCTGAAGACGTATGAAATGAAGAAAAAGAAGGACCATGAAAGAAGAGAACCTAAGAGGGATAAGAACATGTTCCTCAAGGCTGACAATAATGAGTCAAGTGGTGAAGATGCTGACATGGCCTATCTAACAAAAATGATTCCAGAAAATGGTGTGCAGAAATGGAGGCATTCCAAAAAGGGGTAGCTCCAGCAGATCAAAAGGCTATGACTTGTGTCATAAATGTGGAAAGCTCGGACATTTCATCAAAGGTTGTCCTTTGCACAAGCAATATCATTACAAGCATAACACAGACAAAGCAGCCAAGAGAAACCCGGTTCCTGACAGAAGATTCAAGAGAAAAGATATTAATAACAATATTGTGAAACAAGCTTTTGCTGCATGGGGAGATTCCTCCAGTGAACCAGAAGGAGATGATGAACAAGGTGATACCTCAATGATAACCATTGAAAGCAAAGAAACAAGTCTATAAATCTTTTTGATTTCAGTTAGTTGGAGTTTTGGAATTTCGTTTTTTTTCTAGCAACAAACAGGTTGTTTCTTTGTTCTGTTATTGCATGTTGTACATCCTCCTCAAGTTTTCAAGGACTTTAATTATCTTTTGATTCTCCTTAGGGGTCGTTTGGTATGATGGATAAACAAAATTTCAGGATAAAAATTTAGTATTGCCTTATCTCTTGTTTGGTTACTAATCCTGGGATAAGTTATCCCAGGATTAAAAATAATACCAGAATAATTTATACCTGTCAGATTGTGGAATAATAATCTCAGGATAAGTTCTTCCAGGATAAAACAATAAAATTGATAATCTCAGGATGAATACAACATACCAAACAATCAATAAGAAATAATATAAGAATAACTAATCTCAATATAATTAATCTCAGTATAACGAACTGTAGCATAACTTGTCTTCAAACCAAACGATTCCTTAGAGTTCCCCTTGCTTTTATGTGTAGATTCTGATGATGTAGGAAATTAGATTTTGTATGATTCTGGAAATGACTTATTTGTCTTATTTCAATGCATCTAACTGGTGGTCTTTAGACATCATCATGAATTTAGAAGATAGCATTTCAGATTGCATCTAAATACCACTTTTTGAAATTTAAAACTCATCTTCAAAATTTCAGTTAAATGTATAACCAAACAATATTTTGAAGATGAGTAGAATCTTTTATTTGATCTTAATTTGATGTATATGTTACAATGCCTTCGTATGAAGGAAGATTGGGGTTACGGCAGATAAGTAGAACAAGCCAAAATCGGAAAGAAGAGTATGAGGGGCAACGACTCACTGATAATAAGAAGAACTCACATTCTCGTCCTGACAGATGACCAACTTGTTAAGGCATCTTTCTAAATGACCATCCTCTCCCAGTCTAGATCTTTTCTCTTTTTTTAGGGACAAGTTCATTTTCATTCTCTCGATATGGCTAGGTGTGAAGCAACTTCACGATCCAATGAATTCCCTAAAATCAGACGGAAAAAAGGACAATTTTATGGACAAATGGGTCTTTGTTCTGTTTTCAAAAATAAAATCCTATTCAAACGCTGGATAAAATAATCTCTAATTTTATATCCGGATTATTTTTCTGCCCCTATAACCAAACAAAATGTAGCCACCATTTCTAGTTTCAGTTCAAATCTCCTTACAGCTTTCTGCAAAGCTCAGTTGAGGAAATCCGAAAACCTGACCATTCTTATGATCACAGCCGATGAATACTCTAGAGCCCGGAACAAAAGTGTGGTATTTTTGGACTCAAGCAACCAAAATAGGTAAAAACAAAGACTGGGCACCATAATATATATAGCGCGGTTATTCACCGCGCTATACCTTAACAACACGTTTGTCCGTTAAAGTATAGCNGCTATTTAATTAATTTATTATTTTTTATCCAGATTATATTATTAGTGTGCTAAACAAATGAGTAAAATAGAGAATTGTTATTTTATGAATAATTAATGTTTTTAGTTGTTATAAAAAAATATTTATTAGTTATTTTTACTATGGTATATGTATTTTCGTGATTGTTTTGTGATTAAATCAATTTATTATTTTTTATCCGAATTAGATTATTATGTGCTAAGAGATTAGTAAAATAGATAAATTATTATTTTAGGAATAATTAATCTTATATAGATGTTATTGTTGTACATATATTAATATGTGATTCTAATTTTGTTTAGTTCCCTGTAGTGTTATGTTGTGCCCGTAATTTTAATGTAGTGCCCGTTGCAATGTAGTGCCCTTTAGCGTAGTAAAATGTAGTGCCCTTTAGCGTAGTATCTTTGTAGTTATTGAAATTAATCATTTAATTATCTGTTAAACCCAAAAATATCTGAAAAAAGATAATAGTTCAAACACAAACTCTCTCGAATTCTAGTCAACAAACGTAAGAAAATAACATTAAAAAGAATAATATTTATCAAACTAACATATAAAATAATAAACTAACATATAAAATAATAAACTAATATATAAAATGATAAACCAACATATAAAATAATAAAATAACATATAAAATGATAAACCAACA